CCATGTATCATATATAGAATTAGTTTTACCTTGCAAATAAGTATTTAAAGTTCTTTTGATTTGACATGCTGTCACACAGAAGTGAGGCATTCCCATAGAAACCTTTCAGTAATTCACAGTGCTGATTCTTTTCTTCATGAAGTTTAACTATCTGGCTAACCCTGGTCCCTGTGATACTTGGTGCACTTTAGAATGATATGGCAAATCCACACTGAATTCCTCATCATTGGACTTCAGCTTGTTACAGAACTAATGATGCCATGTTGCATTTGCCTGGATATAGTTAACAGTACTTACGAATTGTGGTGAAGTGTCACTAAACATAGTAGCTTTAGCACAGAAATTTTGCTGATACAAGATGCAAAAAAAGAAATGAGTGTATCTGGATCTTTGAATAATTTTTTAATCTGTGCAATAAATCCTTCATGATTTCTTGTCATGGAAAGTGCACCGTCTATACAGACACTCAGTAAACTTACCAAATTCAGGCAACTTCACAACATTTACCTTGAAAATTGTTGGAGGTATCTATTCCCTTGGTTCATAAGAGTGCCCAAAGCAAGTAGCTTTTCACAGCAAAGAAAATCTTCTGCTGTGCCTTGAATGAGGTATAAAACCTGTACTGAGTCAGTAGTAAAAAGTTGATTCATCTAAATCAATTGAATAATGCATACTTTACTTCTGAAGTATTGCATAAAGTTATTCTGTTAAATTGAAGGCTGATTTATGTAGCCAATCAGGGCTCTCTTTGAAAGAGGCAGTTGTTTCTACTTTGAAACATTATTGGGGTCTGAACATCCTCTGACGTAGACAACGCATTCTCTCATCTTTTCTACATCCCTGAATGGCTTCCCTTTTTTCCTGAGTATATAAGCTATTTTATAAGCTACTTCTTAATAAGAAATAGCTGGCATTATTTCTTATTAAGAAATAAGCTTATAATAGAAATAGGCTGGCATTATTTCTAGGTCTTATTGCTTCTTAAAAAGAATTGTCTTCACTTTTGCTTTTCATCTTTTAATTTCTGCAGTACAACTTTTGTGTCTCTCCCTCTGATTTAAAATAGTTGTGATCTGATGTTATACTGCTGATGAGCACCGAATTTCTTTAATGTTATTATTGCAGTATCACAGAGCAAGCAAATCGTCTTATCTTTAGCAGAAACAAGATAATCCTGCAATTCCCAAACCTCATTTAAAAAATCTGCTTTCTGCCTTCCACGTTCTCTTGGTCTTCTTTAACATAATGGGCTGTTGAGCAGACAGACATAAAAAATACCGTCAATCTCTGCAACTATTCACAAATTCCGCTTCAAATAGAAACACAGTGTACCATTGTCAAAAGCTGGCAACAGAGAAGTGTACTCACCCTCCATAAACTCTCACCAACCAGCCTCATGTGGTGGTGGTACCAGTCAGGTGGGTGAAGTTAGAACTAAACCTTGAATCTAGCAGCCCTCAATTTAGCCCACTGATATTCTAATTGTATCAGTAAATCTGGAAGGATTATTTCATTGAAACTTATTTTATTCTTTGGTATTTTTAATATGTTCATTTAAAAAAATAAAATAAAAATATAAAAGATAGATGAACAAAAGTGTATTAACAAAAATCACGCAAATGGATACACGCATTATTTTACAGAGCTGCCAATCTTGGTGTAGATGGGGCACATGAGGAGTAGTTTTGACCAATATATAACTCTGTGAGAGATGAGTGTGTGTGCTTACTTAGTAAAGAGCTATTTCCTCTGGGTGCATTATATAATTAAAGTCTTATTTGGTTCTAAGTCACAATCTAATTCAAACTGTCTTAGGCAAAAAGAAAAGAAAAGTGGAGAAATCTGGGGCTCACGTAACGTGTGCTGGAACCCAGGGGCCTCAGCAGTGGTGTCATGGATGCCTTCCCGTCTCCTGGCACCTCTTTCCCCTTTGTTGCCTACGTTCTTCCTTAGGGGAGAACAAAGGACAAACGGGACAAAGATGGTCAATAGCTGTTTCAGGCCTACCTCCCACCAGCACAGGCATCTATCAGAAAGAGAATTCGTTTCTAGTGATTACAGCAACATTCCCAAGGCGGGGCTGCCATCGTCCCGACTCAGGTGCATGTAACACCAGAGTGAGGCAGAGCTCTGATCGGGCAGGCCCAGGTCACCTGCTCCCTTCCAGAGCCAGCTGGGTCAGTCCCCCAACCACATGAACCAGGAGGAGTTGATTTTCCAGCAGAGGTGCCATTAAAAGCAGCTGTTCAGGCCAGGCCTGAGACATCCACCAGCAGACAGAGTCTGCACTGAGGGAAGAGAAGGGGACGGGCTGAATGGCATCTAAAGGAAGCCTGCTAGTCAAGAGGGCATGAGGGAATTAGGAAACTAAGCAAAGCTTCATAAATAACTATCAGGGACTCAGAGGACTGATGTAGACCAAGCAGTTAGTGCCTTTTTGATAAATAAAAAATTAATTATCTATTGAATTAGACAGTGAAAGTGAGGTAGGCTGAATTATAGCCCCCGAGGATGTCCCTGTTCTACTACTCAGGATTCTGTGATGGGGAGTGATGTGCTCTGACTTAGATTTTAAGTCATGAACTTGCCACGGTGGAAGGTCAGAGGTGGGGCTGGAGGCAGCGGGGGGTGGATCCTACAGAATGAAGTGGAAGAGGGGACAGTGACACAGCCCCTGTAGAGGTAGTAGAGAGAGGGAGTGGTCAGACACAGGGCCTGAGAGGAGAGCCCACCAGCTTTGCTGAGGGACTAAAGTAGCAGGGTAAAGAAATAAAGCAGAGCGACTCCAGATTTTCTGGCCTGTGTACAGGGAGTGGACAGTGTTGCCATTAACTATGATGTGAGTGGCTGAGGGTGTGTTGCCTCAATGCCAAGAAGCATGCTGGGAACAGGAAAGAGAGTGAGTATTGATCCAGGGTGCCGGGGCTCATGCCTGTAATCCTAGCACTCTAGGAGGCTGAGGCAGGAGGATTACTTGAGCCCAGGAGCTTGAGATTGCTGTGAGCTATGATGCCACAGCACTCTACCAGGGAGAAAGAGTGAGACTCTGTTTCGGGGGGGAAATAAAAAGTATTGGGGAGGAAGACAAAAGTGAATGCAGGCCTTGGAAGAGTAAATCAGCTGGACAGGAACCGTTTATCCAAAGGCAGCAAGGCAGAGGCAAGGACGCCAAGGCGTGGTTGGACAAGCAGAGGCAGGTACACATGTGGGGACGGCAAATGAGGAAGGCCCCATGGAATGGGGGTGCAGGCCCAGCCAGGCCAAGGAAGAGAAGAATGTTTGATCAAAAATCCCTGCCTCCCTCTCCAAATTCCTGATGCCTCCTGGCAATGTTACAGACACACAGGCACGCATACACTCACAGGCACACATACGCAGGAATCTAGGATAGTGCTAGTAAATCTGTAAAGGCAAAACTGACATTTGAACATATTAACATTTAAAACTACAGCTCAATGAAAGAGACTATAAATACTTTTTTGAAAGTGAAAGGCCAGAAAATATAATTTACATAGCTGGCAAAGGATTGATATCTAGAATAAATGAAAAGTTATTACACATCAATCAGAAAAATGGGCAAGGGCCTTAATTTAGCAATTTAGAAAGAAATGCGTGTGTCTAATGTGAAAGGACTCTTGGTGTCTGGGAAGATTTAAGAGATTGGAACGCGGATGTCAGTAGGGCATGAGGCGTGTTGAAAGAGTCATTCTCAGACCCTGTTGGTTGACAGTATGAATTAGTGGATCCCTTTGGTACACAGTTGCACTGTGGCTAGCAATATTGCAAAGGGGTAGACTCATAATCCAGCAAAATCCCTTCTGGGCATTTGTCCTGTGAAGATACAAGTCCATGTGTACAAAGAAACAAGTTGAAGAATGTTTATTTGGCACATGTAGCTATTTCAGCAGCTAAAACTGAAATGTTCGTCCTGGGCAGGGATGGCAACCAGAACACAGCGATGTAGCACTTTAAAAAGACCTTTGAATATGTTAATATGAAAAAGATCTCCCCCAAATGTGGGTAGCTAGAAAGAAATTACAGCACTTGCTTCATTTATTTAACCAATATCTGTATTTGTATATGTGTACTTATTTATTTATTTAAATACCTAGAAAAATATCTGGGAGAATGAACACCAAATTGCTAGCAGCAGCTACCTCCGGAAAGAGGAGTGAGGTTGCAGGGTTTGGAGATGGGAGTGGGGGCGACATTTATGTTCTGCATCTAAGGAACAACCCACCAGCTTTGTTTTTGACATGATATAGCCGTGTGCATCCAGGTCTGTGTTCTCACTCTCATCTTCCATCCACTTTTCTCTGACTCCCTGACAAAGGTGATGTGAAGGTGAATGTTGTGCCCAGCACACAGAAAAGAGAAGCCCACACTGTGCCCCAGATGCCCTGGGACATAATCTGAGAAGCGTCCACATGTTTCTGCTGGGCCAGCTCTGGCAGCAGGTTCCATGGAGCCTCCGCTGCCATGGAGAGAGCTAAAAGGCTCTCTAGGTCACCTCGGTGGACCAGCTGCATAGAAATTAATTAGAATCAGACCATGTCCCCTGTGGCTCAGCTCAGGGTGATGCCGAAGTCATTAGCAGCTGCGTTCAGCTATATCCGTAGCTTCATTCCCTGTCTTCTGGAAATTTGTTTCAGCAGAGAGAGGCAGGGAGACCAAGCTAGTGGCTAAGGACAGTAAAATTTTAATTCCCAGATAGTTCTTCAGGGTCACTGGGGCGGCAGTGACCTCCAGAGAAGGGGGCGTTTTTCATCAAATCAGAGATGGCAGCGTGCTTATTCCCCTGACCACGCGAAACTAAATTCCCTTTCTTATAAACAAGTGTGTCATTCCTCAAGCACAGGGGGCGGTGACCATAGCAACAAATCATCCAGATATTCCTCTGGTTGTTCTGTTTGTCTCTGGTGAAGCCACCCTTGCCACAATTTATGTGACCATTTCTATTGTAATGAGCTTTCTATTTCTCTTTTCAAACTATACCACAGGAACAAAGAAAGAAGCACAGAAAGATCAAGATACGAATAAACCTGCTATCTCATCTCCTAAGAGAGTGGCAACCTCAACCACCAAGCTCCATTCACCAGGTATTTAAAAAATAGAATGCGTTATTTGGGGAGAAGACTTGGACTTCATCTTATTCAGATGCCATTTATGAATGAAGTAAGGCCAGTCCATGTGCTATGGATGGTTGTTTCAGGGCTTTCATACATAAGCTGATGTTTCTGACTCTTCTTGAGATGAGCCAGCTGTTGGCATCATTTTCTCTTAAAATAACACGATGCTATGCTACCTTTAATCTTGTCTGTGTGAGAGTAACACAATGTTATGCTACCTTTAATCTTGTCTGTGTGAGAGTATCTGCTATTCCAATAGCGTGTAGAAATAATTTGTAATTGAACAACAGATTTTAAAGATCTAACCTCAAGAATAATCTTTTCTAAAAGGAAGAAAATTGAAAATAATGGATATCAGGCCAAGTGTGGTTGCTCACACCTGTAATTCTAACACTCTGGGAGGCAGAGGCAGGTGGATTGCTTGAGCTCAGGAGTTTGAGACCAGCCTGAGCAAGAGTGAAACCCCGTCAGTTAGCCAGATGTTGTGGCAGACACCTGTAGTCCCAGGTACTTGGGAGGCTGAGACAAGTGGGTCACTTGAGTAAGGAGTTTGAGATTACTGTGAACTACCACACCACACCACACCACAGCACTCTTGCCTGGGGCAACAGAGTGAGATCTGTCTCAAAAAAGAAAGGAAGGGAGGGAGGGAGGGAGGGAGGAAGGAAGATAAAATAATGGCTATCAAGTGACTTGTTGGTTTGTCAGAGAAGAAATCACTTATTTACATTCATATACATGTACACTATATAAAATTGCTTAAATGTTGAAAATCCTTTATTATGAATATTCATACTGTCAAACATTAACCCTTTCATGGACTAGTATGCAATATAACCTCAAAACATTTTTTAAGCCCCAAAATAGTGGCTATAAGAGCAGCTAGTGTTTGAGCTCTTACTTCTCATCAACCAGGTGCTGACCCATGCTCTTCAAATGCATTCGTTTATTTAAATGCCCACAGTAACTCTGTCTCTGTGAGACATTGTCCCCATTGTAACTCTGTGTGCTATTGTCCCTCCCTTTACATGTGAGGAAACTGAGGGACAGAGAGTGTCATTAATTTGCTCAGAGTCACAGATAATAAGTAGTAGAGCCTTGATCTGAGCCCAGGCAATCTGGATCCTGAACTTGCATTTTAGTCACTACAGCATTAACCTGAAAGCTTGGAGAATGGAGAACGTATTAAAACATCTAGTTAATTAATGATTTATAGAAAATAGGCTAATGAACACACATGAGGGTCCAGAGACACAGTCTCATACCTAAGTAGGGGAGATCAGGTCTGAGAATCCTGCATAAATCTGCAGTTTCTAAAGGGCAGCACACTTAGTGGATGAACAGGAGAAAAAACAACCCCCCCCCCCCCGCGGGAGACTGGTGATGGCAGCTGCAGCTCTGAGAGAACAGCCCTCCTTGGGGACCTCTGACCACAGGTCCTCCCTGCTGCAATTTAAGAGCTGAGTCCATGCTACCACTGTGCTCCAAAAACACAATTTAAAATGCTGCAATCCTTACGGCCACTTAGCTGAACAAAATGTAAAATCGTTATACATGCAAGGAAACAAACCACCATGAATAAGGTTTCTATGTTCTAGAGAAGAGAGTAAAAATTGTGCGTAATTTTTTATTAAGTTAAAGTATTTGTTAAAAATTCTAGGATAACCAATAAAATATAGTATATAGTTCTGAACCAGTGGAGGGGGAAAGTTGGGAGGAGAGGTTTAAAAATTCAGTCCATACAAATGGAGGCAAAATGGAGAGAAAGGGAAAATGGGGAAAGGAAGGAGGGAGAGAGGGAGGGAGGGAGGAAGATAAGAGAAATTAGAGTAAAATAAGGTATTAGGAATGAACGCACATATGCACATTGAATATTCATGAATTAAACTCTCTGGGCTAAGTTAAAGATTTAGATTACCAGACTGCATTCATTTGTTGGTCTGTCACAAAATGTTTAAGTCGTATTTTATGTTGTAAAGTCTACCTTTAGACTGTTTAGAAGTAAGAATATTAAACATTTGAAAGTAAAAGAATACAAATATTTACACCAAAATGTACTAAACAAAGGAAAGTTTGTGGTGCTCTAGTTGTAAAACTTATCTATTCTATTGTAGAATGATTTAAAAATACTAAACTACCCATGTTTAAAGCATAGAACTTGGTAAGTTTGGACAGGTATACACACCTGTGAAATCATCACCACAAGCAATAGCACACATATCCTGCATTTCCTGGGGTCCCCTGGTAATCCTACCTGGCTACCCTTGCACAACCCCACCCCAGTCCCTGAACAAACACTGACCCATTCTATCACTATGGATTAGTTTTTATTTTCTAAACTTTTATAAATGGAATCATATCATATGTATGCTGTTTTTACCAGCTTCCTTCACTCAGCATAGTTATTTTGAGATTCATTCATGTGGCGACCATCCATGCCTTTTTATTGGTAAATAGAATTCCACTGTGTGAATACCACAGTTTATCCATTTACCTGTTTATAGAAATTAGGTATCCCCGCACCACACACACACACACACACACACAAGGATTTAGCTATTGTAAGTAAAGCTGCTAAGCACATGTGTACATATCATGGTGTGGACATCTTTTTTCATTACTCTTGGGTGAGTATCTAGAAATGCAATGTCCCTGTTACATGGTAGCTATATGTTTAACTTCTTAAGAATATGCCAAACTATTTTCCAAAGTGGCTGGACTATTTTATATTTCCAACAGTAGTGTATAAGAGTCCCAGTTCCTCCACATCCTTGTCAACACTTGGTATGATCGGTCTTTTTAATTATAGACATTCTAATAGGTGTGTTATGATACCGCTTTGTAATAATTTGCCTTTTCCTAATAATGATGTTTTTTTGACATATGAACAAGATATTTATTTTTTATTAGATCAGGACTGTGTACATTACTGCATTTATGGGGTACAATGTGCTGATGCTGTGTACAGTTTGGAATGTGGACATCAAACTGGTTAACATATCATTTGAATGATACGTTAATTAAAGATTTTGATGCTGAGCATCTTTCTGCATGTTTACTCGACAGTTGTATATGTTGTTTGATAAAATGTCGATTCCAATCTTTTGCTAACTTTAATTGGGCTGTTTTCCTATTATTTAATTCTGAGAGGTTTTTATATATTTCAGACATAACTCTTTTATCAGCTGTGTGATATGCAGTTTCCCCACACACACAGTCCATGGCTTGTTTTGCATTCTTCTACCATGTGTTTTGAAGAGTGTATACTATTAATTTTAATGAAGTCTAATTTATAACTTTTTTCCTTTATGGTCCCTGTTTCTGGTGTTATCAAAAAATTGTATAACCCACAGTCACAAAGATTTCTCCTTACTTTTCTTCTAAAAGATATAACGTTGTAGTTTACACTTAAGTCTCTGATCCATTTGTGTTAATTTTTGTATGTAGTGTGAGGTGTGGTTTTAATTTTTCTTTCCTTTTTTCCATAATGACATGCATCTGATTTCTGTTGCCATTGTTACGTCTTCTGCTTACACCAGGTTTACTAACTGATATCATTAGTTGGAGATCTTTCTTCTTGCTTCTTTTCTAATGTGTGTGTTTAGTACAATAAATTTTCCTCTATGTACTGCTTAAATTACAATCCACAGACTTCAATATATTGGGTATTCATCTTCACTGAGTTTAGAATATTTTCAAATTTCTCTCTTTGATTTATTCTTTTACCTATGATTATTTACAAATATATTGTTTCCTTTGCAAATATTTGGAGATCTCTAATTGATTTCTAATTTCTAATTTCATTGTGGTTGGAAAACATACTTTGGGTGATAAAAGAAAACCCTATTCATCTGTGCACAGTACTTTTTTTTTATTTTATACAGTCTCAAGCTGTTGCCCTGGGTAGAGTGCCATGGCGCCATAGCTCACAACAACCTCCATCTCTTGGGGTCAAGTGATCCTCTTGCCTCAGTTTTTATGCTTTTATTTATTTAGTTAGTTAGTTATTTTCTGAGACAGAGTCTCACTATGTCATCCTCGGTAGAGTGCTATGACATCATAGCTCACAGCAACCTCAAACTCTTGGGCTTACGTGATTCTCTTGCCTCAGCCTCCCACGTAGCTGGGACTACAGGCACATGCCACAACACCTGGCTATTTTATTGTTGCAGTTGTCATTGGTGTTTGGCAGGCCTAGGCTGGATTTGAACCCACCAGTCCCAGTGTAGGGGACTGGTGCCCTAGCCGCTGAGCTACAGGCATCGAGCCAAGCCAGATTTTCTGCTTTTGGTAGAGACGGGGTACTTTTGCTCCTCGCTTTAGCTGATGAGGTCAGGCTGGTCTCAAACTCGTGAACTCAAACTATCCACCCGCTTCAGCCTTCTAGAGTGCTAGGATTACAGGCGTGAGCCACTGTGCCCTGCCTGTGCAACACTTCTGATGCCAAATGTGCAAGTGTTCTACACCAAGAAATTCTCCAGTTCTCTTTGGACACTAATTGGGGGTCCTATAATTTGATTCAATTCTGATGCTAATGACCCAGAGTTAGCACCAAACCCGCAGGTTAAGGCTCAATCTCACAAGACCGTCCCTCAGATGGCAATTGCGAGTAACAAGATGCTTACATTACCCACACTTGCCTGACTTGCCTGTAAATGGGGAGTTCCCACAACTCCCTCCTCAGGTTGGATACAACAGCTCTGTTTACTGTAACAGCTCACAGAACTCAGGGAAGCTTTTTTCCTTATGTATACCAGTTTATTATAAAGAATATGATAAAGAACATAAATGAACAGCTAGATGAAGAAGTACAGAGGTTGAGGCCCAGTGGGCGTCCTGAGTGCGGGAGCTTCTATACTCACAGAGTTGCTGTGCCCCCCCCACCAAAACATCAATGCATTTACCAACCCAGAAGCTCTCCACATCTCATAGTTTAAGGATTTTATTATGAAGCTTCATCATAGAGGCAT